CTTCTGTTCAAGTTTTTAGCAATCACTTATCATTATCGGTTTCTCTCCCCGCCACTAACCAGCTCATGTGATCCTGCTAATATAGTACTTAACCATTTCCGAGTTTATGTTCTAACAAACGTACATAGGTTGTGCCTTTTCACTCAAAATCTCTAGAGTCTAAGAAATCCACAGAAGGAACCCAATTCAAAAAAGACAGCAAATGAAGCACTCTGCACAACTCTAGAGGAGAAGAAACAATTATATTATATATTATGTAAATAGGGGTGGGCAAAAGTAGGTTTACAGTTGTGAGTATGTAAAACAGAGTTTATTCTTGTATTATTTACTAATTATGGTATCATCTTTCATAGAAACAACTGTAAACCTACTTTTGCCCAGCCCTGTATAAAATAAAATATTCCACAATAACTAATGAATTAAGATTCCTATTTATTTGCTAAAAGAATGGGCAATATTCTTTTTAAAGCTTGAAAGGATAGAATCAAAATTACAATAATTACTCTGAGGTGAAAGTATTATACTTTTTGTTGCTTTTGCTTCTTTGAAACGTCTAATTTTTCTACAATAAGCCAGCATTATTTATGTAACTCTTTGTAAGACAGTCATAACAAAGACCTAGTATTCTTAAAACAATGTATCAATTAATTGTTATGGCATAGGCAACTCCCAAATGTTTAAACTCTGGACATTAAAAAACTTGGAAACTATCTCTGAAGACATTTTAGCATAAAACAATTATAGTTTTATAATTGAGGCAGAATCATAAAAAATTATCCATGACCCTTAAGTAAAGGCAAGGATTTTGAACAAAGAAGTCATTGGAAACATTCAAGCCAAAGCACCGCCTCTGGGTACATTGATTTAAATTCATTTCTTCTGGACCCTGAATATGGAAGACACTCATACAATGATGTTAGCCTATGGTAACACACAACAGAAAATGTATTATTAAACTTGAAATACTTAAAACCATCCTTAGACAAAAATGCCTAAAGTAGCTGCCTGAATTGAGACATCTGGAAAATGAAGGCATTATGTGTTGACCTGGGATAATTTGCTATGATGCTGGTGATTTTCTATTCATTTTCTTCAGTACTTTTCAAAAGACTATTGTATTTAAAACCCAAATTGCTGGCACCATGCAATTTGAAAAAAAATACATCAAGTACACAAATTACTGGAGAAAAATGCTGCCCGTAGTTTCCAACCAAGTTAGATCCACAGAAAATGTCATGTCAAAATCCTGCAGGGTCATCCTTTATACACTCGGGGATGAATTTATTATCTCATTACCCAGGCCAGCCGGCATTATAGAGCAAAAGCTGCCTGTGTAATGGAAGCTCATGCAAACATTGATTTCTTGTGGTTAACTTCCAAACGTCTTCGGATTATTTTTTGTGCACTCTTGGAGCTTATCTCTTCACCCAGCAGCAGACAAGTGAGTTAATATGCCGTGTGTGTGTGTGTGTGTGTATGTGTGTCCATTTCTAGTGACACGTGCAAAGGCTATCAGTCGCTATTAATTACAGGAGCATGAGGGCAGGGCAGAGGGCAGGCCAAGCGGAATCCCAAGGATACAGTAAAACGAATATGGGCCGTTGGATCTCTTTTTGTCCAACAGTTCCGTTGGGCACCATGGATCTTTTAAAGTCTGTGTTTGCACTACCTTCAATTACTCGCTGAAAGCAGCACAGATTGGCTTGTACATGTCATTGTTTGTAAAGCACAGAAACATGAATTAAATCTGCCAGTCTTTTGATCTGCATGCCAACTCAACAGTGTAGTCATTGTAAGTACTTATCACACACACACACACACACACACACACGCACACACACACACCACCCTCTGTATTCTGCCACAAAGAAGAGAAGGAACAATTTTTGCCCCTTTGCCTATTTTTTTTTATCACTCTTCCTGTAATATTCCTTTTAAACATGACATTTATTTCTCAGGAGGGAAAAAAAAAGAACTCTTATGAAATGCCGTTCTTAATTATAGACTTACAGGTCTGTGAAGGCTTGTGTTACTTCTTTCCATTCAGTGCATAACCACCGGAGTAATAGAAAGAGAAAGGTAAATAATAGCACAAGGAAAAGACTGTTTTGCATTGGCCCTGGTACGATGGTATGCGATTTCTTCCTTAGAACTTATAAAATAGAATACCCTGGAAGTAGACAGAACATAAAGCAATCTTTTAATAAGAAAATAGAGAAGGCACTGCATTCCATTCAAGATAAAGTTTGACATTAAGGAAAATTACATTGGCATTTTCCATTTTGTTTAATCACCAAAAGTAAACATCTTGCCCTGGCTGGTTCGGCTCAGTGAACAGAGCATCAGCCCAAGGACTGGAAGGTCACAGGTTCGATTCCAGTCAAGGGCATGTACCTGGATTGCAGGCTCAAACCCCAGCCCTGATCAGGACATGTGTGGGAAGCAACTAATTGATGTGTTTCTCTCACATCAATGTTTCTCTCTGTGTCTCTCCCCCTCCCTTCCACTCTCTCTAAAAATCAATAGAAAAATATCCTCTGGTGAGGATTAAAAAATAATAATAATTAAAAAATAAATATCCTTTCATGAAGAATGCTTCAAGAAAGAGGAAGATTCTTTCCAAATCATCTTTGAAATCACAAAATTTGAAGACCAAGATGGACAGCTCCTTAATTTTTTATTTAACTTGTGTTATTATTAATATTAATAAAAATGTGCAAAAATTTAAAATTTAATAGCCACAGATAATTAGAAGGAGATGGATGGCATTGATCACTGAACAATTTAGAAATCTCAATTTACTAACTGATCCTTAAATACCTAATAGGTAAAAGATTGATCCCATTTACCCATTTGATATGGAAAGGGATGAAGAAAACTACAGACAACAAAGTACAGCAAAGCATATCAATAATAAATTATATGATCAAACTCTGAAGAGTAGCCCTAGCCAGTTTTGCTCAGTGGATAGAGCGATGGCCTGTGGACTGAAGGGTCTCAGATTCAATTCTGGTCAAGGACACATGTCCAGGTTGCAGGCTTGATCCCTATTGTTGGGCATGCAGGAGGCAGCCAGTCACTGATTCTCTCTCATCCTTGATGTTCTATCTCTTTCTCCCTCTCCCAAATCAATAAAAATATAATTTCAAAAGCCCTCTGAATAATAGAGTAGGCTGTTTATGATTGAAAATCATCTTGAATTCATAATTAATCCTTATCCCCACAAAACAATCTGGAGATATACCATCAGTTTCCAGCATGGAGAGTTAAATCATTTATCTCTAGAGCTTTGGGATTAACATCTTTCATGAAAGCTACATTTATTTTATTTGAGGAGCTTGAAAAAAACTCCCCCATCCAACCAACAATTAATTTCCAAACCAATGATGTGCTGAAAAAAATCACTGTGACCATAATTGAAAGTCACTACAAGTTACCTCTTTAGATTGAGATGAGAACAAAGATGCTACTGAATGTGTTGTCGTGGGCCTTTTGTCTGGCTGACCTCACTGTAGATGAAAAATTGGTGACAGCTGTAGCTGTGCACGGCACAAAGATCGCTCGCGGTACTCTGCATAACACACACACACTTCAGCTCACTTTGCTTTGTTTCCAGAGGCATTTTCTTCTCAAGTTTCAAAGCTGAGAGGCAAGAAAAGGTGCCAATTGGAAGTAAAAAACAAAACAGTGAGGAGATATACTTTAATAGATTCATCTGCATCGCTTTGTTAGCAATCTGTGATTTAGACTTTTGTTTCTCCATCACTGGAATGAAGTAATCTGAGTCACATACAGACATTGTCTCTGAACAGAAAGTTGTCATAGCAGGGGAAATAATTTTACCTCCCCCACACCCCCAATTCCAGCAAATAAAATTTGCAAGTAGCAATGGAAAATTTGCAGGGTTTTGTTTGGGCTAGTTCTAGAGCCAGCTTCCAATGTTTGTTGTCTATATAAACCAAATATATCATCGTGTTAAAATGCAGGATGGTAGAAATCTCATGAGATCATGCTTTTAAACAGTATATCTAAGATGCTTTCAAATAGGCCAGAAATAGTATATGAATGCCCGGTCTCCCTGTTGATCCTCTCACCCCTTTAGAATCCATACTTTACACAAAAGTCAAAGAAATTATTATAAATTAAATAAGAACACATTATCCCCTGCTTAACTTCCTCCAGTCTCTCTCTCTCTCTCTCTCTCTCTCTCTCTCTCTCTCTCTCTCTCTTTT